ATGGTTTAAAAGTTAAGTATGATTTTGACTTACACAACGAACTATCATACATAATTCAAATTGTATGAAATAACGGCTGACTATTAAACATTTTATGGTAAGGATATTTAATGTCAAAAAAGGTTTAAAATGTTTCAATACTAATGCATTGTATATTCGTGTTGAAACTTGGTTAAAGTACACTCTGACAACCCTACTATTTACTATATTTCGAAATGGAACATAACATAGACCACACAATAAAAGATGCGGGTGCGCCAGCAGGCAGTAATTTGCTCCGTAGGAATAAAAAACGAAAGCTACATTAATACAGAGATAAGGTTCGGATTATAAAAATTATTGCAATTAATGTTTCTTTTTCAAAAATGCATACAGCATTTTTATTGACGGCAAAAAAGAGGTTAGTCTTTGATTACAAGCGTATGCTATTAACGTTAGTAAATACTCAACGGATTCCAGATTAGAACACATATTGCCATTTACGTATGGTAGTGGTTAATGAACATTCTTTTTTAGAAGATACCGCAAATGCTTTCCAAGTATTTCAACGATGAACCCTCTTTCAGCAATCACCCTTTTAAGAACATTTTATTCGAACGCAGTACAAACCTCTAAAGAAAACAAAAAAAAACGACCAAGTGTGAGTCGGACTCGTACAGGAAAGGTTCCGCCATTATCTATAGAACATTAGACACTTTATAATACTGAGCAAAAACGGCAAAAAAAACCACGTTTTTTTTTAAATGGGAGCCCTGTTTTTAGTATTTGTTGTTGTAGCGGCACAAACATATATCATCTGTGAAAATTCAACTGTCTAGCTATCACAGTTCAAGAAATGGGGGTGACAGACAGACGGATAGTGCAGTCTTAGTGATAGGCTCTTGATTTTACTTTCAGTTCGGAAGCCTAAAACAATATATTTCTTGCTACCTTAAATCTATGTACATTCTAAGCAACACGTTTTCATATTCACACTGTCATGTTTTTCATTATACCTTTTTATACCAAAGGAAAAAAAATAGGTACACATATAGATACAGTTACGTGTAGATAGAGTTATATTGAACATGAGCGGTCTATAATTTGGTAATTCTATGTCGTTACTAGTGGGACCGTCCGCATTGGAAACCGGTCTACTTAAAATGATATTATTGACGTGGGCAGAGGTACAGGCTATTGCTGCGCGAACGCATTTTATAATACTGAGAAAAGAACTAAGGAACCAGCATATCTGTGGTTTTAACACCAAATACAATGACTAATGAGGTAACACCGTACCGTAGTAAATGACGTGTCACAAAAAGCTTTCACAACCATTGACCACAGAAATGCTTTAATTGAAAACGAAAAATAAAACATTATCAATACAACGTTAAAAAAAACATTATGAAGTGTGAAATGTTCATTACGTTCGCGTTGTTTTTCCGAATTATTATTATATTTTATACAAATTGAATATAATTGATAAGAATTTATTCATTATAGTATTAAGTTTTTAAAGTCGATTTACCAAATACATATTTAACAAAAATATTAAAAACAAAAAAAAAATACTAAGTACCATTTTTGTGGGGTTTTTTGGAAATTATATAACACGACCTACGACACACCTTTTGTAACTTGTTTTACATAAAATATGCTTGAAAAAGACAAAACAGACGTGTACCTAAACACGGATTTCATTCGGATCGTTAGTGTTTAATGAGTACATACGCTAGAAATGTAATAACTGTAATTAAGCTGTCAATTCTGACCTAATTCTCTAAACTTAAAAATAATTTTAAAATCATTCTCTCTTTTCTAAATAAAACGTGACATTACCTTTAGAGTAACCAAAAATCTTTTCTAAAAAAATCTTTTATTAGTTATGATGTTTAGTGGTTACGTAGTTTGATAGTGTATCTAACGATTATACAGGATATTGAGAACCTATACAGGATATGGAGAAATTTGTCATACACTATCAAATTCTTGTCTTCCTTTTAAATTGTACGTACAATTTACTTATAAGCTTGGCAACATAAGGATAATTATGACTAGCGTGAAACACTACCTATGTTTAATTAATTGCCATTCGAATTTAATACTGATGACTCAACGGTGTGTTCTACATTAAAACTGTTGACAAAGAATGTTTAATTTAAAGTAAATGTCTATATCGATATTAACTAATAACCTTCAATCGATTTACTTTTATTGGAATGCCCATGAAACAATTTTAGTGTACTACATAGCACGACCTCAGGTACCTGCGATATGGTGATTTTTAAAACCATGCACACATAGATAATGAAAATTTTGTGGTGTCATTAACATTTGTGTCACGTTGAACTAGTTTGCATTAAATATTATACGTATCTTTATGAGAAGGTCACGCTTCAAAGAGCGTCTTTTAGTGCTAAGCGCCAATCTGCTTGCTTAGATAGTGAGTAATCTTAGCAAACAGACATAGTGTGCACTATTGCAGTTGGACACATAGAAATACAAGCGACACCCCCAGAAGCTTCTTTAAATTGAGTAACTTTTCGTTTGCCGCAAACCCTTTCATTTCATAGTTGGGAAAGAGATTAGTTATGCCACATTGAAATTTTGCTTTTATAGAGGATAGCTAGAAGAGTTAAAATTTGATAATTATTTCCATGGTGATGTGACGTGCATTTGCATCCTTATTCTTATCTCTAACCTCGATACTTAAAGTGTGGCTTTAGGAACCGTATTTCTTTCACCAATAGAAGGTTTCTTTAAAATTCCTTGGTTTTTAATTTAAACAGAATCTATTATTTTGGTAATATATTAATAACAAAATTCGACAAATATAGCATTTTATTTTTTATTATTTACAAATAACATGAAGGTTTGATTTAAAGTTCAAAATGTCATGGGACACACGTTTCGGTTTACGGCTGTGCATCGGGCGTGGCGCAGACGCAACGCTATGAACTGGAAAGCAGGTTCCTAAAGATAGAAAGTTACTTTTCACCTACTATCGGGCGATGTTAAACAATATCGTGTCGCAGTTAACTCAAGGTCACCCATGTTTGTTTCTTGGAAACACACCGTATAACACTTACTTCGAAACGTTAACCGTGAAATGTGCAATGATAAACACCTCGCGTAGTATGAAGGGAAGTGTGAATAAAACAAAAAAGTAAACCATTTATGATAGTCGATATGAAAACGAATTACATGTCTAAGAAAATTCTATTAACTCATTATTATTACCGACAGTAAAATCGTTAATAACGCATGCAAAATTTTATGAAATAAATGATAATATGAACAAAATTATGGATGTATCAATTATAGATTTGATGATTAATGAAAGATGCGATGTGTATAAATTGATTTCAAAACGATGACATTAAAGATTTGGCTGGTTTTTTGGTTTCCAGTACAACATAATAAGGAATATCATGTTATATACAATAGCTAAATTCTTTCACAAAGTATGCAAAGTAGTGGATGGTCCATAGTTTCGTAGTTCTTCTGTGAGTGAAATGGAAAAATTGACAATGTTAATCTTCAAAAGTTTTTAACGTTAACAGAATATAATAATGTAAAAATTCTGGAAAGGAAGTGGAAGTGACGACGACTGATGTTACATTCGAAATAAAAAAAATAATAGACTTGGTGGAAGCCAATATGGATTATGAAGGAAGTTTTATGGTTTTTTCGAGATTATGTGACATAATGTGCAAAATTATAGTACTTATTAAATAAAATAGAGAACGAGAGGTATTCCAATTATAACATCTGTTACTGAACACTAAATAAGACTGAATTGGAAGTATTACAAAATATGTAGAAGAATAATGTGAAGTGGATTGACAACCATTGAAATGCTCGTTGTGATTCATATCAGTTATTACGATTATCCTTACGGTGGGAATGATTGTAATAAGATTGAACTGGGAAAGGATTTTATAAACAAGTATGGTCGAGTAGTTTTATGAGTAATAATATTGAGAGAACGATCAATAGAAAAGATTATAATACACTGATTGCAAATTATTAAACTTATATCTTATATGCACGAAGAAAGTATTCTAACAGATTTCCGGAGGATCAGCCTTATTGTATAACAACTTTCATTTATTAGGTATGCATTGCGTTCATCTTAAGATTTGTCGTTACGTTACTCCTGCAAAATGAACTCAGATTTGAACATTTGCCAAAAGCACACTAACAATGACACGAAAAAATATTCTTGTCGGCATCGTTACATAACTTTCATTAAATTTAAACTAAAAATGCTTAAAAGTATTTTTGCTAATCATTTTGAAATACATATAGCTACAAATTTCATTTAATATGTAAGCAACCTACGTTATTCTATGATGTTAACTAATGTTAGAGCAAACACTAGCCTGAATATTTTAAGAGTAATTCTTTTTATAAAATCGTGGTGTCGTCGAACTTAAAGAATGACGTGAAAGCACGCTTTAGTGATAATCCTTACGTCCCAATAACATGACAAATGCTTTCTCCATTGTAGTCTTTACGGATTATTTCACTTAAGCGTCTTGAACTTATGTTTAAGTGGAACAGGTCGTGATGCGTCGACAAAATATTGAAATAAATTGCATGCAGCGGACTTGTCAGCCATAACTTTGGATTTTATACCATACCAATAACCAGTTGTGCTCTTTAACCTGTTTCATTATAATTTTTATTTATTTAGGTAAAAGCGAAATCATGAAGAATAATTCACGTACAGAATGTAAATGCCTCAACGAGATTTGTGTAAATCATTAATTTTACGCCGAAATTCGAGACCCACATTTACTTTCTCGACCGATTTGTTAGATAACACTTTAAATTGATGATAATTTCCAATAATATGACCTGACTCTCGGGATTTTTACATATATCATCTGCATTAATATAACTTTCTTTTCTAGGTTAATTTACATAGATGATATCAGCATGTTCACTACTAAGAATTGATCCGATTGAACTTTTGAAAGTCTTACTTTAGAATTTCAGCGGTCAACTATAATCTAGGAAGCTACAATTGTCTTCGTAACAGTGACCTCCTTGCGGAAGGCTGATTCCAGCGTACGTTTTGCAGTTAACGCGACTAGTCTGGTGACTTTTCCACTCAGACGCATCTCAAGTTCTGCGGCCGCGACATTGACCCGGCATACATGATCGGGCAATGCACCGGTTGTCGCAGGCTCTTTGTTTATATCCTGCGAGATTTACTGGTTCATTGTACCCCAATGCTATAAAGTGGTCTAACTTATATTACAGTGAACTTTAGAACCTTATGTTGTTATTAGCAGACGTAAGCTGTGGCTTAGGACTTTAACTAAGGACTTTAAACTTAGTTTGAAAGGGATCAATGTTTTAAGGAGATTTGTAATGTAAATTCTTGTAACCCATTGTACAAGCACAAGCGGACCGTTCGGGGATTCCACTATGTATCATCACATCAGCTGTTTACCTTGATCCAAACCATTTTAATTTCGCATACGAATTTGGTTCTGTTCTTTTATATCTTCGATATATAAATAGTGCTAGTTACTAAATGTGCATTGTAATTTTAGCTTGTCTACTTAGCTTACGTGCCGTTGTTGTATTAATGTAGTAATATAAATATATCATGCAAGAAACATTTGCTATTGCCAAGTATAAATAAAAGTGGGCACAGCTCAAGACGACAGTGCTTTCGTAAGTCGGTAATGACATTCCACTTGGGTTGAGCTCACAGGGTGCGTCAGAGCGCTCGTCACCAATCTGCAGAGCATGCGTTAATGACCACATCAAAGATGCACACTACGTTGACATCAGAAACAGAGCAGTTTCCTGAAATACGGGTTTCGTGGTGACGTAAAGACGGACGCCCGCGCTTTCAGCGGCGCCTGCCGTGGACCCATTTTAGGACATGACTAACGGAAATTCGACTCCTCGCTCTCTGGCTCGGTCTCTCCCGTGGGACGTGCGCTGCGCCCGTCCCGCTCGCACGAAAAGCTCCAAGAAATCTTTTAATAGTGTCCACGGCCGCGATCTACTTTCAACTAGCGGCGGGAAATGTGCATGATAAACTTTGAAATTTTGAATGTGCGCGCGGATTTCTTGAGTTTCCAATCAGTAGGATTATAATTATTTATTTTTATAGAAAAAGATCACCGTGACTTTTTATATGTTTATGTAATATCTTTTTAAAAATAGCCGACTAAACTGTAAATACCATCTCGGAAGAAATTTAAAACTTGGTGCTCAAATTCAATGGCACGGACAGGCTGCGCACTAAAAATAGATTTAAAATTCGAAATAAGCGGCGTCAACTTGCCATTCAAATAACTCGTTGGCACAAAATTCACCAGTCCAGGTATAAACTCGCGTCGTTTTTAACGCATAAGCAGAAAAATGTTATTACACAAATATGACTAATATCACAGATAAGGATTTTCCTGTCGATACGGAGCTTGTATTGCCATTGCACGGGTTTTATTTATCTTTTTACGGGTGGTCTGTTCTGTTTTATTTCACCTACCCCTGTTCTATGTCAACACAGGTGAATGAGACTGACCTTTTTTTGTTGTTTCTCCCAAGCCGGGTCTAAGAGACCCTCTCGCTCCCACTCCTCCTCCTGTTCCATGTACCCGTCGCCGTACTCATAGTTATTTGTTATCACCCCGTTGTCCATCATCATGGTCACCGCACTGACCGTCGATTCGATGTTCGTTCGAGCCTATGACCGCGAACTCGCGTGTGTTAGTTCGCACCGCGCACTGCAACAAGCAGCCGGCCGCGCGCCCGCTGCAAGGAGACTGGCGCACGAGCGCTCGCTGCGGCGGCGTGAGGAACTTTTTCTAATGCGTTCCATTTCATGCAAGCGACTGTCATTATATCCGAGTACAAAAATGTATGCTTATTATAACCCAGGAAAAAAATTAAGAAAACATACAAAATGATTATAAGTTTTTTACGTATAATTTAATAATATTATTATGGTTTATAAATATTTTTAAGTATAAGCATTGAAAGTATTGATTGTTCGAATGAAGAAAATACCTAGTAATAGATAAAAAAAATACGGTACCTGCTACTAGGCTACACAAAGTCAATAACATGCCAATAATAATTTCATTAATTTTAAGGTCTTTGTGTTATTTTTTTTGCTTTTTGCTATAGTCTCAAGCAAAAAGTATTCAAAAGTTAACAGCAAAATAAAGTGTCTGATTATTTTACAGTCAAAAATGTTTAGGTTTGTGTATTTCCAGATATTCCGACGGCATTACTTTATGAAATATAATGATCTTCTTTTAAGTACTTTATTCATATGCTAATATAATAAAAAAATCAATACAAAATGGCAAAAATCTACGAAATCCGCGATTTATCCAACGATGTAACTATTAAATATTTTTTTTTTATAAAGAAATGTTTGTTTTCAATGAATGAATGTTTTTCATACGGGGCGATGTTTAGTTTTCATAAAAACTTTGACGTTGGCGATAAGATGAAGGATCTGTCAAAGTTCGTGTTTGGGCTACTGGGCTAGCTTGCTACATTATATTTACCCCCTTATTAATAAATGAAGACTAAGCTTGGACAAGTTACTCCATGTTTTGTCTTTGTTTATTGAATGAAAAATAGCATTTGAGTGACATGAAAAATACACGGCGTAACTAGCCTAAGCTTATTCCTTGTTTATTATTATGGGAGATAAAGTGTAGGTACTGCCAAGCGACTTATATATGTAATAAAAATAATAGTCTTGCCAATAAAAAAAGAAAAAATGGGTGCGTGTATTTATATACGGGCGTGAAAAATTATACTTCTTTGGCATTATTAAAAATAAGTTTTTATTTTATTGTAATTAATTAATAAAAGGACTGGGAAAGGATAGTCAACACTGTCAATAAAGTTCAGTTTTAATTTGAAAAGTTAAATAATCATAATATTCAATTTAAATCACTACTGAATATAAATTATTAGCACATTATATAATTCGTTCTTGTATGAAACTAAAACACGTGTTGTGAATATAGACACTAGAAATATGTGGATAAATATTATAAACATGAAAACAGAGGCGACGAGCTTGCCAACATGCGCGACTAATAGAGATTCTATTTCCATTTTGTTGGTAGTTTATTTCGACTTGATGTGCGGTTTGAAGCGCCTATTGACATGCCTGCCGCAGGGACAATCTAGGGTGCACGGCGGTCGGGGCAATATCGGCTTGTCTCTACACACATGTTTGCTATTTAGTGTTCGGGCGTCTGTTGAGCTGAACACACGCGTTGATGATAGTCCCAGTGTTATCAAAAAATCAGAAGATCGGTAGGCAGGGCCTTGGCTTTTTCTACGGTGTTACCGTAAAAAAGAAAATACTGGGTGAAGAATTGGCAACAGAAAGTAATGTATTGTAAATAATTAATGTTTATATTACTAGAAAAAAATCCACGCGGACCTGGCAGCAGACGGGACTCGAACCCGCACCCTTCGCTATCAGAAGATCGTTAGGCAGGGCCTTGGCTTTTTCTATAGTGTTACCGTAAAAAAGAAAATACTGGGTGAAGAATTGGCAACAGAAAGTAATGTATTGTAAATAATTAATGTTTATATTACTAGAAAAAAATCCACGCGGACCTGGCAGCAGACGGGACTCGAACCCGCACCCTTCGCTATCAGAAGATCGTTAGGCAGGGCCTTGGCTTTTTCTACGGTGTTACCGTAAAAAAGAAAATACTGGGTGAAGAATTGGCAACAGAAAGTAATGTATTGTAAATAATTAATGTTTATATTACTAGAAAAAAATCCACGCCGACCTGGCAGCAGCCGGGACTCGAACCCGCACCCTTCGCTATCCGGGCGAACGCACTGATCAATTATGTTACCGTGGCCCTAACGGCCGTATCGAATTCTTTCTAGCCTTTCTTAAGCTGCAAGGCAGCGAAACCTCTTCGCATTATAAGTGTCAACTCGTCACCTACAATGTCAAATTAATACTTTTACAAGTATTAAACATTTAAAGGAAGAAATAGCAATGAAAGTTATAATATTAATTTTTTAAGCATGTAACTGCTCAATGTTTGAATCTAAAGAAAATGTTACAAGAAAAATTAAAAAAAAAAACTATTTCTATTTTTCTAGTAATATTTTCTTTAGATTTAAACATCGAGCAGTTACGTACTTAAATAATAAAAATTATTATAAAAAATATATAAATAATGTTTGTTTTTTTCATTCCACATGTGGGACCGGTCTTTATATACTTCGATCACTTGTGTCTTTCATGCTCATTATGATCTGCCGCCATCTTGATCGATATACGTGCGCTCTGTGTAACAGCTGATTGAGAAATTGCCCCAATCGCGCTACACACGCGGCAACGTGCAGGGCGACAGGGACAATCTAGGGACCAAGGGTGGTCTCGCGCTCCTGCCGCCCTGCCGCAGGCCCGATTTAGAAAATTGACCCAACTTGCCTCCACACATCACAATTCAGGAGGCAATTAAGGGTCATCCCCACTCTTACACCCTAGATTGTCCCTGCGGCAGGCATTTCAATAGGCCAACTTCATGGTGTTACTTTTGTGTTACAGTGATGCGCACGCATCTTAAAAAACTCTTATATTTTTCTCATAACGCGCCTAAAGAAGTATAACTTCAAAAATCGGAGAAAGAAAATGCGAGTCGGAATTGCCCACCAAACTAACTAAGTAGTACTCAAAATTTAGTTCAAAATAGTAATTACAATCGGAATATCGTTCAACTTTTAAGTGTTAAAAACAAACATATGGGCTATATTTTAAAAGAAAAAGCTGAAAAGCCCGTCTAATGGTAAGCTGCCACCATAGCCCATAGATGTTTGTGAAACCAAAAATATCACTACAACGTTGGCTTCTCTGATTCCAGGGCTCAACGGAGCTCCAGGGCTGTATTACCCCGTGGAGCCCGGGAAAGAGCTGAAAAGGTAGTGTTATTTTATAGTGATCTTCTGTAAAGTGGATCACTTTGTTGCCTATCTGTCCGTCCGTTTGTCAAGACCCTTTATCTCGGGAAAGCATGAGGATATCGAGTAAAAATATGAACATAACATTAGATCCCTTGAAACTGCAAGAAAAATAAACTTCAAGGTTAATATAAAAGAAGATACGGCCGTTTATGTTGATGTACCTACAAACTTGTACGGAACTCTTAGTGGGCAAGTCCGGCCCGCACTTCTCCGATTTTCTTATTGCCAAGACTATTGATTTTTTTATTTTAAATCAATGATTTGAACCCCAAAAACTTATAAAATTTTTCATCAAAACAAAAAGAAATTGACAAATCTTATGAAAAGTTTACTAAGTTAAGGCCCATTTAACCTGTCTTAAACATAACGTAGAATTTTTTTCCTTAGATTTATCAAATGTTTTTGTTTGGTGACGGTTAATAGCATAATCAGGAAAAATCAATAGCGCGGTCAAAAAATGTTAAGTTTAATTAACACAGGCAATTTACTTAATTATAACTACTATATACGGCACGATAGCGGAGGGTGCAGGTTCGAGTCCCGTCTGCTGCCTGGACCGCATTTTTCTAGTTAAACTTTCGTTAGATTTAGACCAATTTAAATTTTAAAAATGAATGAGGCCTATATCGTTCACAATTGAGACATCTAACATATTTTCAAGCAGTTTAACTCATAGACTATGTACATTTTGTTGTGACTCTCTATGATTTAGAGAGCCACAACAAAATGTACATAATACACTCTCAAAACATAAGTAACCCTGGCCTTCCCTCTGGTGCACTCGTGTGAAAAGGTCACTTGAAAAACTTTTCTACGTGATTTTACAAATTGACTTGCATTTTCAGAACTTTGGGGTTAGATGATGGGAATGAAAAACAGCCATTTCTACAGGAGGTAATGGGATAGCAGTAATAGGGAGACAATTTCTCGTCGTTATGGTGTCATTTTGGTCGTGATTTATTTACTTTATGTAAATTATGAAATTTTATTAGAAAATAGTTCGGCCCAGTACATAGTAGCAGAGGTGAGACAGAACTAATGTTTTCACTGTATCTGAACCGAATTATAATTTAACGCCAAACACAGTTAAATAATGCGCGCGTAAAAAACCACAGAAAAGACCACTGTCATACTACAAACACGGAGATCAGTAAATCTTCTTAAAAAATCTCTCTTCTCAAGCAATCCATTTCTAATTTTATGACTTCTGTAGTAGGTCTCTGTTGCCCCTTATTTCATTGAGTCGCCACGTAACTATGTGGTTCCAAGCGCGAAAATACTTAAACAATACACATTTATATTTTTTTTAAATTCCCTTCCCTTGGCTCGATCAATATAACGCTTGTACCACCTATGTGGTAATGTACAGTCGTTATATCGATTTCCATGCCAATCAAGGCTAGCTTATCGCTAAGTTAGAGACAAAATACCATGCCATATGTCTATACTGTTCGACACGGTTTTATGGAGTGAAACTTCTTTACGCACGCTTTACTTGGAGAGTAAGCTGGCGAATGCGTTACGCGTTACGAAAAGTGTGTTCGGGCGAGGCGAACGGGACTTGAGTGGGGCATATAAGCAAGGGAAAGCAGTGCTCGCGCACATATTTCTTTCTCTCTTTCTCTTATAGCTAGTAAAGGAAATATGTATATGTACATACATATTTTATATAAACACACACATATA